CAGCTAAACTCGTTGGCTTAGTATACTCTGTTCTTGTGACAACAGGCCAGCGAAAAATCTAACAATCTACAGCAAAACCATCAATTATTATGGGCGTTATAACATAGGTGTGCAGCTGGACGAAACATACACGCCGAACCCCCCCAGACGATTTAAATCCCTGACGAAACATACACGACGAACCACGGCAACGGGTTAAAAAGTATGAGAAGTTTCCAGTTGGAGATCTATAAATACCAATAATAGTGAAGTTGTTGGAAGCTACGTTTAACTCCAAAGCACAAATTTCAAGGTCCTTCTCTTTGTTAAATTGGTCTAGATTAATAGTATTAAATTGGATATTCTTATGAACAAGAACACACACACCTCCATGACTGTATGTTTGTCTACAATAGGAAGTACCGACAGTATAGTGATCAAAATTTACTTCACTTATTTCATCAGTTTTCAAGTGGTGTTCCGATAAGCAGATAATTTGAGGTGCATTAAGAGATAATGAATTTAAGAATTCATCAACTTTATTAATAATTCCTCGTATATTTTGATGAAGAATTGTTAGTTTATTTGTATTATAATGATTCTGTAATAATTTGTTAGAAGGATGAATATGGTTCTTATGAACAGTATCATAAGGTGGTTTAGCATTATTCAATTTGATAGTGTTCCTTACAGCTGATTGATTAGCACTTACATCTTTATTCAACGAAGGAATGGATTTACCTGTCTGTGATCTAGAGGTTGACTTTACCATAAAAAATCTTTTTTTGTCACAGGGGCTTTTTTGATTCTACTAGAAGTTCTAGTCTTCAATATGCTAGGATTACCTACTTTTATGTTGCCATTTACAGTACAACTAGTTAAACTTTCTTTATCTAAACGGGGAGTACTGGCTAACCTGTCCAAAATAGTTTCATTAGTTGTTAGATTCTGATTATCTGAAATAGTTAGGGGAGTGGAATAACTAGCAACAGGAGAAGAGGTAACCTGAAAATTGCTATCTCGCCAAGCAAGAGTTATTACTGAGCCCATATCTTCTTTCAACGCTGAATAAATATGAAGAAGTAGATAACTAGAAAGCAACTCTTTACCCAAGCTGTTCAGATGCAATCCATGTGCAGTAAATAGTTGTCTATTGTTATGCATCTCTATTACATTGACATGAGAAAAGATCTTAGCTAGCTTGCATAACTTCCTATTAAAGGCTTGAATTTCACTATTAATATGGGAATTCCTAAGATCATACCTATAAGGGATGCACATTAAGATTGCATTAGTTTGATTAACCCTTTTTACAAAGCTAGTCACATTATAAAATACCTTTTTAAGGTATCTTACATCATTTGACCCACAACACAAAATTAAAAAATCATCCATTGTGAGTTTTTCAGTGTCACTTTTTGCCGACTCCATCACCATTTTTGATGAAGCTCCTGGCTTAACATACCCAGACACTTCAAACTGATCATTCAAAAAAGCTTTCATATGAGCTGCATAACCACGTAAGTGGCTGTCGCCTACCAATAATACTTTATGTTTGCGAGAATTAGAGAATTCCTTTTTATTAACTAGAAGCTTCTGTGAAGATTCCCGCACTACAGATTGTATGTAACTCAGATTATCTTTCTCACACTGCCTAAAGCCATCCTTCTTGTCGAAACAAACTTCACCGTTGATAAGTGTCGGTATGTGGCTAGGTAAAGAACCAATTTTGCACTCACTCCCTTGGTCATTTCTAGATGCAGGAACACTTAGAGCAGGTGGTCGTTGTTCGGGACGATGCTTCATTAATGAATTCTTCACTCCTCTTTGTTCACTGCTCTTCTTATAATAGTTAATATGGCATTGGTTTACCTTCTCCCTCTTCGATGGGACTGTTTCCTCTTCCCTTATCGTAGATTCAGGGAGGTAAGATAAAGCTGAGTATCTGTTGGAGACAGGAACCGGTCGCCGAGCTTGCAACAGTTGATCCAAGTAGCTTTAAAAATTCCTGGCATGTTATATGCCATGTTAGTGCTGCCAGACGTAGAAGCTGATTTATGAAAACAAGACCCAAAACCTAACCTTAGAATATGCCTCAAATATGTCCACAAAGTCAGACTTGGTGTTGTTATAGTTATTGAATTAATTTATGTTAAAGTAGGTGCTGTGTTATTTCAGGATATAAAACATTGATATTTACTGTTACATCTGTTGTGGTTTTCTTGCAAGGGCAGCTACTTGTAGCAAACTAAGGTGCCTGATATTTATATATGGAGGATGAATTTAATCAATGCTGATTGTTTTGCTATCAGTCTAATTGAATTTGCCACTATAATGGTGGTAACCTACAAATGCAAGCTTCCCACACCATGCATTTAAATTATTACAAGAAATCTAAGTCTTTCCACGTTTTCAAATGAATGTTCAGATTCTGAATTTTAATTTCTATTTCCTTCATTTAATTTTTTAGTAATGTTATCTTGCTATTGACACAGAAGAAACTGAAAATGAAGACAGCGACAGTGTGCAAGGCGCAGGTGGTTCTCACCTTGTGATTGGTGTTCATGCATTTATATGGGACGACATGTTAAATTATCAAGGGCAAAGAGAGGTTGCTGCATTTCTGTGTATGTAAAGCAGTGTTCCACAACCTTTTTCTACTCGCTGCACACCATGAAGTATCCATGACTCAACACGGCACACCAAAATGTTATTCCCCTCAGAAACATATGATATCAGACAATTATTTTAAGTACATAACGTGATCAACTTATTACTATAATATTATTATATTGTTATTTTATTATCATTAAACAGAAATCGACTTGTGCATTTATTAGCAATTAATGAACTTTAATTCACTGTAGAGTGTAGAAAATACACTTCTATTACTATTAAAGTAAATACAGTAATTCTACTCATAACTTCAATGTGATACTTGCGCCTGCGTAGCTGCACACAGGCGACTGATCCGTGGTGGAATCGTTGACAACGCAAGTCTCATATCTTCATTGATGGATTTGAGCCACTCCCTCTTTGATGTCTTAATTTCACTTAACGTCGAGAAGCCCAGTTCACACAAATATGTAGTTGAAAACGGCAATAACGCATTAACTTCCATCTCAGAGATAGCCGGGTATCCACTCCTTATTGACAACCAAAATGTATCCAAAGGCACTTCGAGAAGTTTTAGTTTCAATGTTCTGTCTGCTTTTAAATCTGCGAGTTCCTCTTGTATATTAATCGGAAGATGTTCTGAATTCACAACAAATAGATCACGAATGCAGTCAAAATCTTGTATACTCTCTCCAAAATACTTATTGAATTTCTGCTGTAGCATTTCTAACTCTTCTTTAATTGTGTCCATCACCACTTTATTGCCGTCAGCAAGTGGTCATACAGTCGGAGACATCTCAAACGACCCATCTGTAATTCTCTAACTAGCAACAAAAATTGCAAACTACTTCAGAGCACAGCTGTGATAGAACTGAAAGAATTGTAAAATGCGGGATCTCTACTCTTCAAACGGAAGATGTGACTTATTTTTGAAATATTTATAATTTTAAATGAAGTCCAACAGTCGGTGGGTGCATTGTTACAGGAAGAAAGTCATAAAGTTGAAGAAGCTCTAACTGCTAACAAACAGGGGCAAATACCGAAACAGCGTTATAATCCCTGCAGTTTTAAGGAAAAGCATGTACACAGAACATGCGGCAAGCATATGAAAGAAGATGCGAGAAAAATAAAAATAAATCAATAATGAAAACTATGATATAACAACAACTGTGAGTAAATAATTTTCGTTTAATTTCTTAGAATACAACATTACTGTACATAAAGAATCACAGCATGTAGTAAAGAATAAACAAGCATCATCTTATTTATTCAGTGCAGTGGCTGAGAATAAAATACAAGCATATGAAACACGGTAACTGGGATAAAATAAAACGAATAAAATTTGACAATTAATTTCTTACAATAGGTAAAAGTTCGTGTCACACCTTTCACCTTGTGACGGCACACCGGTTGCGGAACACTGATGTAAAGCATTGTGTTTTGAAAAGGACGCAGGGAAGTGGGGAGATAATAGGGAGATTGGTGTCTCATCATGGCCATTAGGGATTGGTGGGCCAGGAAGATTGTACAGATGACCATCTTAAAGGTACCGGAGTGCATGAAAAGTCAGTGAAAACCAATTAATTTTAAACACTTCATCTGAACAGGGAGGACATTGCAGAAATTTCAGGCAAACAATTAGAACAGAGCCATTGGCCCAGTTTCTATGCCTGATTGGAGTGACAGAAAGAATATCATTATTATTTTAACATATGGTGATAAATGACTAATTGTCAGAATAAAGTGAGGGCAAGAAAATATTGTCATGGGTATGTGTGTGACTGTAGACGGTGTTTGGATTGGTGAATGTATTGACCAGTTATACATATGACTCGAAACTACAAGCAATTGCAATGCTATTGCTGATCTACACACTTTACAAATCACTACAGTACATGCTAAGCCTTGGACTTTTATATAGTCTTCCCTATTCGTTGCTTGGTAACAACTCTCACCAGTGGAAATTCTTCAGCTTCTGTGCTCATGTCGTTGCCCGCTGGCTGATACTACTCACAGCTGAACTCATTGCTCTAACTGTCCTGATTGTAACATGTCAGTGTGGACCACGTAGGGAAGACCTTTCTTCTATTGTTACATTTGTGTCCATTGCTGCAGGAACATGCTTACCAAGCCATTGCCCAGTAAGGGCCATGGTGCAGACTGCAGAAAACACCATCCATCTAAGGTTTTGTGCAAGTGTGTTACTGGCATTACCTAGCAACAGCCTCTGTTTACAGAGTCACTGCTTATCAACAGGTCTCTACACCACAGTATGATCGCAATTGGTCTGAAAGATCACTCTCTTTAAAACTACCTCCTGGAAGGAAAGAATCACCAAATGGTATGTCAGATTGTTCATGAAATTGCCGAACAGTACATTTTAAAATCCCATGATGTCTTTTGAGAAGATTCACCAGGAACAGCAGTTGTTCATCTTAACATTCATTGTGGATCTGGTACAGGCACTGCTCATGGAGCGAGCAAGTGAAATGGAAAGAGAAATACCAGGAAGACAGACTCTGGTTAAAAAAGAAAAATAAGTACAGCAAACAGATGTATGCTATGTGCTTCAAGCAAACAACAATATTAAGAATCTCTCTAATCAAACGAGAGAAGAAAGCAGTTGCTGCCATGAAGACCGGCTGGACAAAACAAAAAAGATATAAGTACAGCAAATGTGTGTGCTGTGTGCTTCAGGCAGAACAAGAGAAGAAAGCAGTTGCTGCCATGAAGACCGGCTGGACAGAACAAGAAAGAAATAAGTACAGCAAATGTGTGTGCTGTGTGCTTCAGGCAGAAGAGTGGGAAGGAGGCAGTTGTGATAGTGCACTGATTGTGAATTTGGTTTCAGCAGATGGATGTTTCAAAAAGTACCAGATGAAGCTGTACTATTAAGGTAAAACTACTTGTATTTTTATAGTGTGCAGGGGATATTTCCTCCATGTTTCATTGAAATCCATCAATTAAAGGAGTTACAACTTACAGAGTGAAATGAAACACCATGAAACTGAACTCTGAATACCCAGATAGAAAGTCCTTCCATGGCTCAGTACCATACTGACTGGTATATAGTTGCCTCCACACTGAAGGATTTAAATAGCTGTATCGTTTATAAGTTCTGACTTTCCCATGGTGGTGATTACTCAAATTGTAATCTTTTTGTTTCATATAGTCTTGTTGGCAAATACTGGTGTTTCAGAGGAACATTCTGCCACGATCTTCAACCCTGAAGAAGGAGGCAGCATGTTACTCCAGAACATCTGTATCGATCTACAAGATCACACATTGTCACAGTCCAGAACACCACAGTCTAAAAATTAAAATAAGTTTGTAGTGAAAGCATGGAACTGCTAATGATTCTCTTGTTACAGGTTAAACTTGGGGCTTTGGATGCGACTGTCCATACCATTAAGTCCAACCAGTATGGTGTTCAAGGCTACCCAACTATTAAATTCTTTCCCCCTGGAAAAAAGGATGCCAGCTCTGCTGCTGAATACAGTGGTGGACGTACAGGCAGTGATATTGTTAATTGGGCATTAGAGAAGCTAGCAGAGAATGTACCTTCTCCAGAAATCAAACAGGTACTCTAATCACAGCAGTGTATCGCAATTTGAATAAAAATGCTTATTCTAACACATGCCTGTAATGTCAAAAAATGGTGGAAATATGTAAGGACAAGTCCACCCCTAACATGCAATTATGTAATGTAATAATGGCACTAATGTATGATTGATAATGTGGGTGCAGCAGTATTTCTTCTTGTTTGGAGTGGGATATGAGAATAATGAAGACTAAATTAACATTTGATTTGTATACACAGCACAGCGGGCCAAGAAATCATAACGGACAATATTAAGAATCTCTCTAATCAAGTTACATAGGAGGCACAGCATCGGCCACCTTGAAGAGAGATGACAGGGGTTATTGACACAAACCGTATGGTTTATGTATTTTAATTTTTAACAAAGTTTTTAAAACTTCAAAACAACTTTAAATATCACAAAGTCAATAGAAAGTCCGTCGAGTGTAACAATTTTTTAGGTCACTTCTTTATCACTTTTGCCTTACATGTTTCGGTTTAATAAAACCATCATCAGAGGCACATAGTACAATCATGAAAACACTGTCGTTGTTTAAATGTACACAGTATATATGCTGCGTGGACGCTGCTACAATATGTCGATGTGTAAAAGCACAACACTTGCTAGGATTATTGAATGCACGTTCAACTCTCACATTCCATCTGAAATTGCCCTCAAGTTAAAACGTCGATGTTAAAATATTTAAAAATTTAAAACATTTGAAGTAAAATGTTAGGCTCCTCCTTGTTAATTCATCCCGAAGATGGGAGATGTCAGCTTGAGGTTGTATAGGCTTATGGTTAGATGTTTCCTATGTGCTGTGTGTTGTGAACGTGCATTCAATAATCCTAGCAAGTGTTGTGCTTTTACACATCGACATATTGTAGCAGCGTCCACGCAGCATATATACTGTGTACATTTAAACAACGACAGTGTTTTCATGATTGTACTATGTGCCTCTGATGATGGTTTTATTAAACCGAAACATGTAAGGCAAAAGTGATAAAGAAGTGACCTAAAAAATTGTTACACTCGACGGACTTTCTATTGTCTTTGTGATTGATAGTGTAACGGACCAAAAATGAAACAATTCAAAACTTGAAATATTTCTATAACCAGAAAACTGCTGTGAGTGATAGATGGAACATTGTATACTTTGACATTACATGTGGATTTTGATATGACAACTGTTGTGATAGTGGTTTCTAAAAAGTGTTTGGTACCTCTGAAGATGATCCAAATGGATGGAAACATGTAAGGCTAGTGAATCATCAATTGAGAAAATTGAAATAGTCACATTGGATGGACTTGTCTTTTGTAATTGTAACTAAATTAACATTTTCATTGTCCAGCTGAACCAAAGAGTTGAAGATTTTCTTAAACTTACATAATCTCTTCTACTTGAAGCTGATTGCTAATTAGGTGCTCTGCTTTAGAAGCAAAAGTCTTTGCTGCTCACTCATAAGTGGTCACATATTTATATATGTGTGGGAATAAACTAGTTGACTCACCAAAATTGACAAATGGACCAACACAAGACACTTAGGCCGTGCCATAGCTCAAGTGGTTAGTCGCTGGCTTCCTACCGCGGCAACCCGGGTTCGATCCTGGGTCTGGTCAAGTGGGATTTGTGGTGGGCAAAGTGGCACTGGGGCAGGTTTTCTCCGAGTACTTCGGTTTCCTCTGCCAATCTTCATTCCACCAATTGCTCCACAATCTCCCTCACCTTTCATCTGGGCTGGTACAATAGGCCAGAGGTGGCCACAGTATAAGGGACTTAGTCCCACCCCACTAGCAATAAAAAATGCAAGACGCAGTTTAACTCTCACTAATGCTTGACATATGCACATTACATTATAGGTTGCTCCTAATGCTACTATACACACAACACTTTGATGTTATGTATATAAAAGTGGTTGTGAAACAGCCATTATACCTAACTGCTTAACTGTAAAACTTATGCTGTGGTTGCGGCATGTAAGCCATACATTAATCTGTAACTGTTACATTTTTTCTAACCTAATGAAATTAAATTTAAACAAGTTACTAGATTTATAGTGAAAATAACTGCAGATGGATCCACAAGATCTCAGTTCCTGCACCCATGACATTACACAGGTGTACCGTTAAGTGTATGTATCTAAAGTTGGCACTAACTGTACCGAACAGCGGTGGTTGCTCATTCGGTATAGTTTGCTTGCGGACTAAAACCACGGAGTTGTTTGTTTGTTAAGTGTATGTGTTGTTCATTTATTGGTTGAAATATGCAGAGGAAGAAATATGGTTTGATATACTGAGTAATAATGCTTTCTTGACAGATCATTAATGAAGATACTTTAAAAGATGCATGCGAGGAACATCCACTCTGTGTTGTTTCTGTTCTGCCACATATCTTAGATTGCCAGGCTGATTGCCGCAATGGCTACCTTGACATTCTTCGCAAAATGGGAGAGAAATATAAGAAGAAGATGTGGGGGTGAGTTTTAACATAACTTGGTTTTCTCTGCTTTCCATGTAACCATGTTTCTGTTCACATTCTCATAATTGTATGTAATAATTGTTAATAATAATTTGCATTAGCTTTGTTGTTGTTGAATTTTGTTGATTAAAATGTCTTTATATTAAAACTGGAATATATTTTTCTGTGTCTAATGTTATTAACACACAGACTGATACTTTAGTCATTGGTCGATGTGTAGTAATAACAGTTACATGATTGCAGAATTAGTCTGATGGTGGCCAACTAGGCTGAAACATGTAGAAAAATAAGTGGATGTATGCAGTTGGTCGGTTATATATCATGTTGACAGAATCTCCACGCCTATTACCATACGAGGTACTATCAGAAAGTTTGACTAGGTCAAAAAAGGAATGCTGGCTTAACTTACTCAATTTTGGCTGCCATCTCCTTCAAAATAGTCTCCTTGGGAACATATACAGCAATCCAATTGTTTTTTCTGTGCATCAGAAGCACTGTGGAAGTCATTTTCCTTAATGCTGTTGAGTACCGCTTGCAGTTCCCTTGGGATGTCGGACACTGTTTCAAAGCATCGTCCCTTCAATTTCAGTTTGGGAAACAAAGCAAAATCACAGGGGGCTAAATCCAGTGAGTAGGGAGGATGGGGAACAATAACCATGTTGTTGGTCACAAACTCTGTGGTTTTCAGGGACATGTGGGTGGGTGTGTTGTGATGGAGCAATGCAGCACATGTTCAAATTTTCTGTTAAGCTTTCCTGGCAGAGTCCATAATGGATCCAAATGGTGTCTGTGAGCTCATGGATTGTTCTGCAATGGTCATCGTGGATGAGTTCTCAAATTTTTTCAACATTTTCTGTTGTTGTTGCCTTGAACATTTGTCATGTTCAGCTGACACTCGACCAGCCTTGGAACATGAATGGCATTCATAAACGCTATTTGGCTTAATGAATGTTCTCCAAAAGCCTCTTGAAGCCTTTCAGGGGTTGCAGTAGCTGATTTACCTAGCTTCACACAAAACTTGATGCAGACACATTGCTTGCTTTTGCCATCCGTTGCAGACAAAATGAAACATGAAGTCAAAAAAGCACTCATATAAAAACAGTACATGTTCACAGTGCAGTGTCATGTGGCAGACTGTTGCAGTTTTGAATGGAGGGAGTTAAACACTGGGTTTATTGTTTTTGCATCACTGAATTTGAACCTCAGATGAAGGAAAACCTTAAATCAAGGAATATTAAATAGGAGGAGTTCTAGCTTCTTGGATGCAATGTCATGCAGTCTAGTAGAAGCTCACTGCTTCTTGGTTTCTTACACGTTTTGCTCTTAGAACCTGAAGGTGGAAGCAGTATATTCCACCAAAACATCAGTGTACTTCTTCCAGGCTACACAGCATTACACCACAGAAGACAGCATTATTCATACCAGTTGCTGTGGAAAGCTCAAATCCAGCATTAAATGGGTTTCCACCATATGTCATCATAAACAGTTTGTTTCAGGGAGCTGTAACAAGTTGCAGAAGGGAAGTGTTCTATAGCAATTTTTTATTTTTACTGAAGGGGCTGGATATAATGAGTTATATTTTATACAGGTGGGTGTGGGCAGAAGCTGGTCTGCAACCTGAATTGGAAACAATGTTGGAAATTGGAGGGTTTGGCTACCCTGCTATGGCTGTCATGAACACAAGAAAGATGAAGTACTCAATACTAAGGGGGTCCTTTTCTAATGACGGGATCAATGAGTTCCTTCGGTAAGTCATCGTATCTGTCTGTATATGCAAAAAGAATATGAATGATGTATCTTTGTAAGGCATATATGTATTCAGAACTTGGTAATTTGCACAGCAGTGTGACTTAACCAGTTTGTCATGGACTGTACTCTTTACAGTTCAATTTATACACTACAGAGCTTCTTTTTAGCATTTTTAGACTATAATGGAAACATATGGGTCTAACCATCTATTTCTGCCTCAACCCTGCACCTTGATTAAACTGTAGTAGTCTGCTTGAAGTGAGATTATTAACTTATCTGTTTTGTATAGATGTCCTTTAAGTGGCAGTATTTTGCTATTGGTCGCTGAAACAAGTACTTCTGCTTGGCTTTATCCAGTTATGATTTACAATATTCAAGATGTCTTCTGCTCCTCCAGACCATTTCACTTGTACAGACAGCTCCATTAGAGATGTAACAAGCAGGTGTAAGTCCTGTGAGTGGAACATGAGACTCTTAAGTCGGCAAATTCAATGCTTGCTATTCCCTTCTGACCTGGTACCCATACTTACTCACTTATTCATGGAGCTGAGCCCTTCTTGAGGAGCTGCCAATTCTGCAGCTACTCAAGAATTTCACAGCATTTTATGGAACCCGAAGGTTTGTTACCGTGTTCACAAGAGCCCTCCACTGGTCCCTATCCTGAACCAGATCTATCCAATCCATACTGGCCCATCCTATCTCTCTAAGATCCAGTCTAATATTGTCCACCCACCTACGCCTTGGTCTTCCCTGTGGTCTCTTTCCTTCTGGCTTTCCCACCAATATCCTATACGCATTCCTCGTCTCCCCTATTCATGCTACATGACCTGCCCACCTCATCCTCCTTGACTTGATCATTCTAATTATACTTGGAGAAGAACCTGGTACCCATAGGAGTTGTATTCTTCCAGTGTCATAAGGGATTGGAGGCAATCTCAGACCAGTTTTGAGTTAGTCTGGTTGTAGTCAAATGCTCTTTGTGCAGCATATGTTTCTGCCTGGAGTATGATGGTGTATTGCTGAAGCAGTTGTTTTTGTGTTCATTGTCATCATTGTTCTTATGTTTCTCATTTCATCTTTCTTATATCCAGATGTTTTCCCAAGTATCTGTAATTTTTGCCCCTCAGTGTAGGAGACTGTATTTCACAACCATACAAAATGAGTTCAAAGTTACAAGATTATAACAGTTTCTTAGATGAATAATAAGAAGCAGTTTCTGGTTTTTCCTTCTTCTGATTGTATCATGATCTTCAGTTCTGTTACTTATACAGAGTGTTTCACGACTTTAGGGCATAACTGCAGGAGGTGATTTCCTAGGTCTTTGTGATCAAAAAAGTTCATATAAACATGTGTCAGATTTTGGACGGTTACGGAGTTATGACCATTTTTTCATTCGCATACATGCCCTCGTGTGAACCGTGTCTATCGTCTGGCGTGTCACTATTTTTAGCCAGCTACAGACAGAGTATTCTTGTTAGCTCGACACTTGAGAGGTACCTAAGACGTGGTGGGTTGGTATGTCCAACCACGGCTAGTGTGGCGGCTGCTGTTGTTCAGAACAGTTCTCATCTCGGTGCATCTGTTACGTTCATGATGCCATTTACATTTTCATTTGAGGAGTATGCAGATATCATTTATGTGTACGGGTTTTTGACGGTAACTCAGTTCTTGCCATAGCTGAATATCAGCAATGGTTTCCGAATCGTAGAATACCGAACCAGAGAGTGTTTACTGGAGTTTACCAGGCATTGCGAGATACCGGTAGACTTCCCGGCGTTCGTATTGCAGCCGAGCGTGGTGTTAATGAAGGCGCCAATGAAGAAGGCATTATTCATATGGTACACCGCAGTCCACGTACGAGTACGTGAAGAATTGCCAGCCAGGTCTCCGGGCTTAAGCCCACTGGATTATTGTGTGTGGGGATGGATGAAAGAACTGGTTTACACTGTGAAGGTGGCAACGCGAGATGCTTTGCTTGGTCGCATTCTGGATGCCGCTGACCACATAAGAAACAGCCAGCTGAAGCTGCTACATGCTACCCACGCGGTTCACAACCGAGCGGCAGCCTGTGTTGCGGCCAGCGGTGGCATTTTCGAAAATCAGCTTTAAGCACCAATCAATTCAAATTAAAGGTAATTTCATGAAGCTAACTTTACATCCATACTTCAAATGTATCATGTATTATGCTGGTTTATTATTTTGTTCAGTTTATTGTCAGTAATCGTTACCTTCTATTCTGAGTTTAAAATGGTCATAACTCCATAACCGTCCAAAATTGGACAAATGGTTATATGAAATTTTTGATCACAAAGACCTAGGAAATCACCTCCTGCAATTATGCCCTAAAGTCGTGAAACATCCTGTGTAGTTCCTACATGCTTACATTTTTAAACATTCTCAATTCTTTTTACCCCACTAATTTACTGTGGGGCACACGGTAGCATAGTTGGTTGAGGCAGTGCTAGAAGCTGGAAGGTTGCAGGTTTCAGTCCTGATGAGGTGGATTTTTTTATTTACTTAATTCTTCCAGCCGCACTGTGGCCCTGGGGTTGACTCAGCCTCTAACACAAATGAGTACCAGGAATCTTCCTGGGTGTTAAGGGGCAGCTGGTGCATTAGGCTGACAACCTTACTGCCATCTGTTAGCCAATTGTCTTAATGTGTGGTGGAGCCTTGATGTCTCACAACTTTGGGCCATCATGGCCTGTTACAGGGACAGCTTTACCTTTTTTTAACTTTTACTAATTTGCTGTTCATGTACAGGCATGAAAACGGTTAATTTTGTTCCTTCATTATATAGGGACCTATCATTTGGTCGAGGATCCACAGCCCCAGTTAAAGGCGCATCACTGCCAAAAATCAATCCTACAGAACCATGGGATGGCAAGGATGGAGAATTACCACCCGAAGAGGACATTGATCTCTCGGACATTGTTCTAGATGACATTGACAGCAAGGATGAATTATAAGAGAGTTACAGTGTTAAGTGTGTGTGTGTGTGCGTGTCTGTGTAAAACATTAAACAACAGTGTATGTGAACATTGGTACAGTAGCAGTTGCTTGGATTCATCTGTCATGGTCTGGAAAATGAGTGAATGGTAAACTTAAAATAGAGGGATCAAACAAATATTTAGTACAACAGCTTAAGTATAATTCATTCTAACTGCCATAAAGGAACAGGTGATTAAATGAAATGTGAGTAATGATAGATTTTTTCACCATGATTCTTTAGAGGCTCTTTATTATTCATCTGAATTTGAATGAATTAGCCATACCATGCCACAGTTAAAACGTGTGAACTCTATGCATAAAAGTAGCTTGGAGGCATTTTTGTGGTGGTCAGGAATTCCTGTAATGTTGATAATATTTGTTTATATCCAATAATATGCTTAATTTAATTGTGAACTTCCAATCTTCCATTATTGTATTTCGTAATTGTCTAATGCAGGTGTCTACATTTTTTAAATGCAGTTGTTACAGATGGACTTACTTGTTTTTTCCAGACATAATCTGATAATTAACCCTTTGACAGTGAAACCCTGCCATACAGTTACCTGCTGGAGATATCATACTGCTTGGTGATAATTTCACTTGCACAGAAAAATCTGCAATACTGTCCACAGATAATCTGTCAACGATGGAAATATTTTATGTAAAAGCCTGTTCTTACTTCTGACCATTGGTATGTCACACTTGATGTCATATAGTGACAGAAATTCTATACTGCTTGTTTCACAATGAGTTGATCTCCTGAGTTGTGGCAGTTTAATGGAACTTGAACTGATCTAGTCAGAAAATGGCATGCAAAGAGTTAAGGTCCTTAATACAAGTTAACGTAAAGCTAAGGCTGCTTTCACGTACTCTGATATCATTACTCACTGTTGGTATCTGTGAGGTTAGACACAGGCTTGGTGCAGTAAAAATATTGTAACGTGTTGCGTTACTGAAGACGCCGTTCACATTGTTAACTGGTTTATTTAACAATCTACAAGTAACGGCTACAATTATTTATAACACAGTTGCAGGGTTTCACACTTTATAACCCTAATCGCATTAATCTGTTTACACTGTTGCGGGGTTTCACGATTTATAACCCTGTGCGCAAATCAGTTCACTGTATCTTCAGTAGGCTACACGTATTCACAGTATGGGAGCTATACAAGTCTCTCTGTCTCATACACTCCCAATTACACAATTACACACACGTACGGTACTTCTTTCCGCGACGGCTGCTATATTTCAACTCGACTCGCAGGCTGCTGCCTTGAGAACTGTTGATAACACACTCGCTTGACTACTACTGAACTCGGCGATGTCCACATTTCAACTGACTCGTAGCTGCTGTGCAGTTCCCTTATATAGCCGCAGTGGTGCCTGTTGCGTGCCGCGTCACCGTGTTTGCGTATAGCCTAGCAACGCTGTTACCTCACGCCGTCTTACGTCACTGTGCGTTGCACGTTACATTACCGTGCAGAGGGGGGGAGGGGAGCGGTGACTCATCCGCCACGTCACTGTGGCCTGAGTTGCCACATTGCTGCTGGGTAGGGAGGGGTTCTCCGTTGCGCAACATGTCACAATATATATATTGTAATTGATGACCTTCACAAGGTCACTGATCCTATGAACATTTTAGTTCAGTACACCGGTACTGGTGATTCAATTGGATGCTGTGCTAGAAATCAGCCTCATATTTTGTATATTTAGTAAGCAGTACAAAAATATGCCTTCTTCACACAGGCACTGACTTATTGCTGTTGGTTCAAGAACTAAAATGTTTTTCTTAGTCTGTTAGCCTATTTAAAGATGTTTTCAACTGAAATGAGAGGTAGAATTGAGTCCATACATGAGAGGCTTGATTGGATGGCACATTTAGCAATTGTGTTTGGACTGTTAAATGACAGTTTCTCTGGAAGAACACAAATCAGATATCAACAATTTATATGAAAAATTTAAGTCATTACAAATTAAACCAAATTCATGGATTTCAGAGCTCAAGATGAAGACATTCATGTTTCAATTTTTTCCACTAGCCTTGAGGAATGAAACTGCTTGCCTTTGAATGATAGTTTATACACAGAAATTGAAGATCATTTGCTGAATTTGAGAGAAGAGTTATAAAGATACTTTCCATATATAACAAATGAACTGTTTCTTGTGGTCAAAAGACCACTCACATTTCAAAGTGGAGACAAACCACATATTGCACAAGATGAATTTATTGAAATGATAAATAAAGCAGTGGTCAATTTGGAAGTATCTACCATACCCATTGAATTTGCACACTTGTAGAATATGAAAGACTGCAAACATAGTTATGAAAATTCTTCTACACTTCACAAGTACCTACAATATTGAGTTGAGTTTTTGAAGTTTGCTTCAAATAAAATCTAAACCCGTAAGTAGATTCAGTGTGGAGGAAAAGCTTCAGTACTCTTTACAATCCCTTTGATTAAGAAACTGTCAGAAGTGAAACAAGCACGACTTTCTAACCAGATTTATTTTTTGATTAACAATCATAATGTGGGTTTGTTCTTTTTAAATCCTAGCAGTAATTTTTTTATTTCTGGTAAACTGATCTGTGTGCATGGCAGGAGCAAGACAAGGAAAATCTTCAAACTAATTTTCTTTTGTAAACAAGCAGAACATAGGTGAAAATTTTCAGCATGTTTGCATTATTTTTATGACCCTTGGAAAATACATGCATATGCAAAAAGGGGTGATCAGAAAGTAAGTTTCAAAGCAAATAAAAGTGGAGGTTTTTCTGTCACACAAACAATTGTGCTCTTAATTTGTTCCTCAATATTTGAAAATACTTGAACTTTGCACCCCATTTTCATAGTATTTAATACCTTTATATATTTAATCAAATTCATACCAGTGACAGTCGAACAGAACGATATGATAATTTTCAAAATACATTAAAACAGAGGAAAATAAAGTTTAGGAACAAAGAGAAGATAGTACAAGAAAAAGTGTATAAGAAAGTGGGATAGTGATATAGAAAAAATTATATAAGACAAAACACAGTAGCTTTTGCAAAGATATTTATCTACATGCACAACAGTGTTCTTAAATATAGGTCTAAGCAAATTTTCTGGCTCCCCAACCCCCAGAAAGACCTTGCTGGTGCCTGCATATGTAACGCTAATTGAAGTAAAAATTCTGAATTTAATTACAGCTGAATAAAATCTATCTAGAGGAATCCATAGGCCAGAAGAAAACATTTTTATTTCATTAAAATGGAAGAGGCATATAGAATTTTAAATATTAATAAGCAAAATTGAAATGGCAGTGTTAGGCAATAGAGCTACATATGAAATGACTAACCATGCTTCTAATATTTGTTTCATAATAATTGGTAATCAGCCAGTACTGCTGATGCCCCACTTAAGATGGTGATAATTGGCCCCAGTGTATCTAATGAAGTGCAAACTCAATCTACTGTAGTCATGCATTACATAACATATGATGTGTGTTGCTTTGACGTAAACCATGTATATAGGTGGTGGATTTGAAGTCCTCATGACATTATACCCTGGAAGCTGGAACTCTTCAGCTTCTATACATGTTTTTCATTATACCTTCCTAAAAAAGGAGTATCACCATGTAATGTGTTAAATAAATTACATCACTTTTTCCGTAATAGCCTTGATTGCATGTCTAAGTATTTAGTGTATGTTTGAAACAGGACAGTGTTTTCATCGGGTATTCATGTTGTAACAGCCATAAAAGAAATAATATGCATAAAATTAGCAGTTTGTTGTGTTACTTGTCAATTTTTATGTATAACAGACTTCAGTGTTTTTCAGAAAGTCAGCAAAGATGGTGTTAATGGTTCTCACATTCAATTTTGACTCAATTTTAATATCACAACTACAGACTTCAGAGACCTGCGCTGAACTTTGAATAAGACCCCGGTCACTCATTCAGTTCCCAACTGCCACGTTGACTGGCACATCAGTGACCCATCAGTTCTTCCAGTAAATAGGTGCCCAGTTTGAATCTTGGTCAGCTGGTAATTACCCAGACAAATTCAGGTGTCACTGTGCTGATCAGTTCCCTGGATATGTTATTCCTGCTTTGTTAACCTTTAATGGCCGACTGTTATATATTGTTACGTGTTTTCTGTGTGTCACGCAATGAATAAATCCACGTAGGTCTCAAATTCAGTAGAGCCTTTATTGGACACTTCACTTGTACAATCACGAGTACAATTACTATCCACTGCTTTGCCGTAATATTTCAACTCTCCTCTGCGGTGGATATTCCAAGACTGACTGCTTCTCGTCGAAGCTGGGGTATTTATACCCTCGGCCACTGCTATGCAAATGAACCCTCTGTTATAACCGTGGAAACGTTGCTTTGTTGGTTCTGCGATTCCTACGCAATGACCCATTGTTATTGCGTTGTCTCTGTGGGAACGCTTCATGTATTCGTTGTAACTGTGGAGATTCGGTGTTCTCGACACAACGGCTCACTGTTGGGATTACAGTGTCACTATTGTTACTTCCTATGCAACGGTCTGTTCTAGCGTTTCCATAGAAGTGACTCTTCTGGATTGCGAACACGTTACAATATATATATGCAGCAAGCAGCAACCTGCGTTGGCCGAATGTTTTATATATATATATATATGACACACGACATGCACACTCTTTGGGAGTGGTGACAGTTTGATCTTGGGTTTGAAACCAAAAGAAACCCACGCAAGTTCATGTCAGAGGTTCATTTGTTAGCTCTGAACAATGAAATCATTTATCAGGGTACAGGTTTCGATACTATTTACGTTTAGATATGACTGCTTATGACCTGGTCAGCCAAATATAGCCCAGCTTTGTTTCGAGAACTGATGAGGAAATATTCGTCGGTGCTTGCAGATTGGTGCTTCCAGAGCTTTCAAGGAAGTGTGACGTATTCAAGGATTGGTTTTCAGTGGCGAATTATCAGTTAAGAAGTCAGTGTTGGATTGTCTAATATTTCTTTATCACTTAAAAAGTTAGTGTTAGACTGTTGTACAGGGGATGGACAAAAATATGGAAACACCTCGTGAAATGCATGCCTGAATTGAAATGTTTATTTTAGCAATGTTTGTAGGTCACACTGTCGTATCTGCCCAACACTACTACCTGTACAACCTCCGCAATACGTTGCAAGCTTCATTTTTCGTCGAGACAGTGTTCTGTGCAGTTTTTTGTGCATCACGTCAGAGCTAACAGAATTCGAACGTGGGCAAATTGTTGGGGCCCATATGGTGGGTGCTTCCATAACAAATGTAGCCCAGGTTTTTGGTGTTTTGCGAGGCACAGTATCCAAGATTATGACCGCATACAGGAGGACTGAAAAAACCGCATCTGATAAACACCAGCATGGACAGAAATGTGTGTTGAGTGATCAAGACAGACGAACATTGCGTAGGATTGTGATGAAAAATAAGAAGACTACAGCTGCAAAAGTGACTGCTGAACTGAATGTCATGCTCACAAAC